ACAACAAATATCTCTTAGACTTTTGAGACAGTATTAGGAACATACTAACATATGATGCCACAAGATAAATTGACTCCAGGTCAATTTATTCAAAGTAAAGTTTTTTTATGATTTTAAAATAAGCAATCCGTAATTTACATTAATAATTACACAATAAACATTTACGTTCATTTCAGGCAGACTATGGGAAATTAACTAGAAGCAATCAAACTGAAACAACACAAATTACTAAAACAACACAAATTGAAATATATTGACTGTAAGACTGTGATTGTAACTTCATATATGTTATCTTGTTACATACAACTCTCACTCTACTACACACTACTCGATTACACACTACTTAATGTGACTAATTTTACCGTTTTTGACTTCATTTATTTAAATTATTAACTGCGTAGATCATCACAAAATATATAATTCAAAAAACCGGTGGTAGCGTGGGCTAAATATGACATATTAACTATGACATTCTAAAGTCCAACGCCTCAGTTTGTCCCATTTGTGACCATGAACGCTGTAAAGGAACCATAAACTTCGAAACGTCGGGAATTTTTTTTTTTTAAATTGAAAGTTAATTATTTATTACTCCAGGCAAACAAGTTCTTATAAAGTGTGTCCGATTTTTCATTCTGCGAAACAACACCGTCCCACATTATGCCTTGTCTACGGCGATATTCTCAGCACTACGCCTTGCAAGAAAAGAGCTCATCGATAATAATAATAAAATATATTTATTCACATAGACGCTTGTGCGTTCTTATGAAATGTCAAAATTTTACATAAAAATTAATACATTCGTATGTTACCACCGGTTCGGAAAGCAGTTTCTGTGGAGAAGAAACCGGCAAGAAACTCAACAGTTGCTCCTTTTTAAAAGATCAGTTTACAATATAATAGTACAGCTATAATAATCTTGTTTTAGCCTACGTGAGTATCAACAGTATTAACTCCACACATTGGCGTCGTCAAAATTTTCAGCAATAGTATTATTATACTGCTACGAAAAATTAAAAGTAAACTTATGGCTAAAGCATATTTGCTTTAGCCATAAGTTTACTTTTAATTTTTCGTTTAAATTCATCAAGTGGCAGACTTAATATCGACTGTGGGATATTATTATACACGCGCACACTTTGCCCCATGAACGACCGTTTAATTTTTGTAGACGAAACAATGGCGTAGTTAGTTTGTCCTTATTTCTAGTATTTAGTTTATGTCCATTCACTTCTTCTTGTCACTATTCTTTAGATAATTATTAATATTATGTTTAACTTACAAAATATTACAATACATGTATTGAGACGCAACAGTGAGTATATTAATCTCTTTAAAAAGGTCTCTGAGTGTATTCCGGGCTCCGATGTTATAGATTTCTCGGATAAGTTTGTAGAAATAACTGCGTAAGTGTGAGTAAAGCTGCGTAAGTGATAATTCAGTGTCCGGGCGGTCGCTTTTAATTAAATAAATTCGAACAATCTGAGTTCAAACGCATTGAACCGATGAATTAGTTAATTTTAAGTGCTGATTTATCACATGCTTAGTAGTAAAAGAGAACATCTAAAAAAAATAACGAAAAATATTTTCAATGCATATGAACTCCGCCAATCCGCAGTGTGGTCGCGTAGTGGACTCAGTCATAATACTCTATGTACAGAGGAGGCCTTTGCCCAGTTGTGGTATAATATATATAGGCCGTTACTTTACTTAAGTGTTGAGACATAATAATTTGTTCCGTTATCCTTGCGTAACGACCCACCTCGAGACGCGGTCGTAAGGAGAAAATAAAAGATTTAACTCCCTTCGCAATAAACCACGGCCCGGCGGTGATGCATAAAAATATCACGATACGACAAAACCCTCCGGTTTCATTGTTACCTTTATCGAACCCACGTGAGGTCAGGAAATGATCCGCCATTGTGCAATATGAAAACTTTATTGCTTTTTTTATGTTATACATTGTATTCATGAGTTACAAAGAGATATTTTTATGAGTACTTGCCGCGGCGCATTCGTGAACAATCAGATATTGGTTTCTACTTATGTACGCCGCAATAAACGTAGGCGCAACGTGTAGGCAGTAAATAATGTATAAAGTGCCGTTAATGACAATGGACTTGCAAAGACACAATGAAAATTACTGTCACTTTCAGATGTTTTTCACAAAGACGTTTTAAACAAATCGAAATGATGGAAACACGAATAGCAAAATTAGATTACTTTACTGTTGTCTTCACATTTAGATTCCACTTATTCCAAAACAAAACAATTTACACGATAGTTGAAAAAAATTAATCCATGTCTGAATTTCAAATAGTTAAAGCTATTTTATTCTTATAAAACATACTTGCATATACATATGTAAAGTAATATATTTTGTATTTTTCATTTTTGCCTTTAAACCGTTTATCCCATTAGGACTAAGAATTGTAAGAGAAGAATTGTTAATATAAATTTATTATTATAAATTTACCATATTAATTTATCAATCATAACAATCAATCAATCATCAAACGTAGTTTGTAATTACGTAAAATTAGAATGAATTATTAGTCCATATGCATTGTTATTTTTGTTTCGCTATTTTTAACTATGTACTGTGCTGTAACATTCGTTCAAATATCGAATACAAGTTCAGTCAATCAATTAAACAGAATAAACACTAAGAAATTAATTGTTGTTACACTTGTCTTTCATTTCTCCAAGACGGCTTCAAGTTAAACCTTTGAGATTCAAAGTGACCTGCCGTAGCTTGTTTGACGTCTTTAAACAAACTTTGTGTATCCCATTTGAAGTCTGTTATTTCGACTTACTCTGTCACTTTTATCTTATCTGCTCCTTTAGGGACTTGGGATCAAGGGGGTCTGTTTAAACGGTCCATGTTAACTGTACCATTGAAAGTTCGCTATGACAGTTAAAAGTTTTGCGCCTCCTAGGGGTTGTAAATTTTATTCGTAATATTAATTTATATCAGCGACGTGAAAAACATTTCTATATTGTGTTTTTCCTAGGGTTCCGTACCCAATGTGTAAAACGGGACCCTATTACTAAGACGCTGTGTATGCCCGTCTGCCACCCGGCTGTATCTCATGAACCGTGATAGTTAGTTCTGTTGCCGCTATAACAACAAATACTAAAACATAAAATCACATGAGAGGTGTCAAGGGACACCCGAATGGAACGAAGTTCCTTTCGATTATTTTGTTTATAAAGTCCCGCGCATCTATGACGTGTATGAAAGAATAGACAGACAGAGTAGTTGAAGAGGCTGAAGGCGTAACATTCAGACAGAAGGACAGAAATAGATAAAATATGTATATAAATGATAGCTTATACACCAGAATAACGCATAGTTATTCTGGTGTATAAGCTATATTATTGTAAAGTTTCATTAAAATCCATTCAGTAGTATTTGCGTCAAAGAGAAACAAACATACATACAAACTTTCGCCTTTATAATATTTCTAAGCTTAATTTTTTTTGGATTTATGCATCATAAAAGAAGAATAACTTATATTCCTTACTGATTATTTTTAACTATGCATACATTTGAAATATCCTTAGTTATTTTTCTTATGCATGTATTTGATGAGAAAGTATATTATTTTCTGTGCCTTAACTGGGTTAGGGCCACGCAGCAGTTTCGGCTGTTGCATGAATGGGCAGGTGCGTCCGGGTAAGTACCACGACCTCACAGAAGACCGGCGTGAGGTAGAAGTCACTTCTGCGTTTCGTCTTGTGGGTCAGGTAGCCAGGAGCCACTTTATCCCAGCTCGCATGCCACCTTTTAACATTAAAAAAGTCACTTTCAACACATTATTTGGATACATTGAAATTTTATTTATTACCTTTCAATAGTACATGTTTCGAATATCTCGCAATATCAACGACTGGACTAAATACATGCGGTATCCTTACAACTTAAGCACTATCGGTTTCGACCCTGAATTATTGATGTTCTAAACAACAATAAAGCTTAGGAGAAGTGGATACTAGGACCTTAATGGGGGTTCCATGGCCGCATAAATGTATTGCAACGTGCACTAATATTATTGTAGACTTGCCTAACTAGACACAGAGCACCGATCGTTGTCTGTGACTTTACTTTGTGGGATCTTCTAGAAAGAAGTAGTCTGTGATATTCTCCATTATTTATCTCGTGTACTTTTTATATGTGTATAATATATATATATATATATATTATACACATATAAAAAGTACACGAGATATATATATATATATATATATATCGGCATCATTTTTCGAAAAATTATAAAGTACCTAATATTGTTATGACTCCTTGGTTTCGGCGTCGGGGGTCGTGAGTTCAATTCCCACACGGAACAACTATTTATATGTATATGTATTTTACATATAAAGCTTCCTCTTGAATCACTCTATCTATTTGAAAAAACCGCATCAAAATCCGTTTTAAAGATCCGTAGTTTTAAAGATCTAAGCATACATAGGTACAGGCAGACAGCGGTATGACTTTGTTTTATACTATGTATTGAAAACGTCCTTACAACACAGGATAATGTCATCCAAAAGTAAAGGCAATGTTAAAAAAATATGTAGACACTTAGATCTTCTGTAGTAAGGCCATGCAACAGCTCCAGCTGCGGCACGAAAGGGCAAGCTCGTCCGGGGAAGTACCACGATCTCACAGAACACCGACTTGAAGTGGAAATATTATACTTCTGCGTTTCTTCTGGAGAGAGAGAGTTGGCCGGGACCAACATTATTAAAGTTTGTCAACGCATTGGTGACTCCGTGGCGCAGTCGTCAAGGTATTGACTTCGGCGTCGGGGGCCGTGGGTTCGATTCCCACACGGGACAACTATTTGTGTGACCCACAGATAGTTGTTTCGCATCTGGGTGTTTGTCCACGTGAAATTTATGTATGCAAAACGTCCTTGCAACACAGGATAATGTTATCCTAAAGTGAGGGCAATGTTTAAAAAAAAAAAAAAACATCTGCATACCGACAGGTGTTGCAAATGTCAGTTAGCGGTGGGTATCACTTAACACCAGGTGTACCGCCTGCTCGCTTGCCACCTCTTCACATTAAAATTATTCGTGAAGACAGCATGTTCCTTTATGCCAATGATATTATATACGCATATGACATAGATATGACACCAGCGCACTGAAACTGAGGCACTCAAATTACACCATATGGTGTAATTAGATTGCGATTCTATAGACTCCTATCTCTTTCCGTATCATACGTTCTACATCATCTGTCACATTCACTTGCATCACTACATAGTATAAAATAAAGTCGTCCCTCTGTCCGTCTGTCCCTATGTATGCTTCGATCTTTAAAACTACGCAACGGATCTTGATGCGGTTGGTTTTTACTAGATAGAGTGGTTCAAGAGGAAGGTTTATAATAAATTGCACATATAATGTAAAGCGGTGTAATTTATTAAATGCCAAGCAGTATGGACATGCGCCGTCTATATTATTAAACATCTTTGGCTTTTTATTAAACATCATTGCCTTATTTTATTTACCATCATTGCCTTATTATTAAACATCATTGCCTCTTTGCCCACAGCGCGTCGGGTGCGATTTGAGGGTCGGCTCAACAAGGCGGGTGGACGAGTGCGGCGTGTGCGGAGGCGATGGGTCCTCTTGCTCGAGGCCGCGGTACCACTGGCTCGCGACTCCCGGCTCGCTCTGCTCGGCTACTTGCGGTGGGGGTAAGTGTAACGGACGGACTAAGCCCCAGCATTCAAGTTGTGCCTTTTTTAGGTTTTTTCTACCGACTTCGAAAAAGGAGGATGCTCCCAATTCGGTTGTTTTTTTAGTTTTTTACCTCAGGACTCCCGTCGTTTATGTGCCGATTTTTTTGGACTTGGTCTCCGGAGATCATCATGATATCAAAATCAAATTGGAAATGAGAGATATTTGGAGTAGGTTTTGTTGTTGGTAACTAAAAATCCTTGCTTAAATGAAAAGTTGACATGCGAGCAGGCGTCTCACCTGATGTTAAGTGACGACCGCCATGGACCTCTACAAGACCTGACGGGTTGCAGTTACGTACGTCGCCAACCAACAACAAGTGAGCCCCGCCTACCTCACTCATCTTCACGTCACACCGGTCTTCAAAACCGTGGCTACCCGAACGAGCCGAGAGTATGATACTTACACTCCGTGGTTCCAAAGTCGAGCCCGCCCATTCGTACCCACTACCAACCAACAGAGTACCACTGGGTATAAATGTACAGTGTATCACTGGGTAATAAATATTTAAAAACAAAAAGTCGCCTTTCAACTCGAGCTTCATCATATAAGCGCATTTTAATCAAGGGGAGCACAACGGTGGGGGATTTAAAACAGTTTCTATTTGAACTCTGGCCGAGCGTTAATATCTCGTGGAAGATTGAAGACCGCCACGGCGCCGCGCCGTTCGTTACTTAAAAATGCTATGAGATAGCATTAATTTAATGGAAGGCAGTGCGCGGCAAAGAACTCTGGTAGAAAGGAAGCACTAAACATAATCCTTACTGTTATTTCAGCGCTTGCTATATCGTAGAATGTTAATAAATATATTTTTTTCATTAGAGCGTGGTTAAAACAAGTCAATTTATTATTAACGAAAAACAAAACCATATAAAATGAATACAGATCGAGATGTTTGTTTTGTTTTTTGTTAACAATAAAAATAATTTTGTTGGTGGCGAATGCGGCTTTCTCGATTTACTGTTTAAGTGCGTTTTGTCCTTTTTTATCCTTCTTTTTTTTACAAAACATTGCCCTTACTTTAGTATAATATTATCCTGTGTTTTAACAACGTTTCACAAACATAAATTTCACGTGGACGAACACCCAGATGCGGAACAACTATCTGTGGGTCACAGAAATGGTTATCCCGTGTGGGAATCGAACCCACGACCCTTGATGCCGAAGCCAATACCTTGGCGACTGCGCCATGGAGTCATCCTGTATTGGTCGTTGTAATGTCGTTGTAAAATCGTTTTAATGGTCTCATGGAGAACATAATCTAATTTTACGTAGATTTAAAGAACACTTTTAGAGAAATGCTATATAAGTACACGTTAGACCGAATCTCTAGATGTTGATATTATCCTGAAATTTGAAAACACGAATAAAAAATTCATACCTTTTTTACAAATCCAGCAATATAGTACATTAGTAATATGTTTACTGTGCTGTAAAATTAAAATATTAAAATTCCGATACCCAAGCTGCATCAGTATTACATGTCGCTACACAGACGGATAAACACGTCGGAGGCACAAAGACGTTGAACCTTAGCCCGTAGCTGTAAAAAAATTCGTATATTGATTACAAGTGCGATATCTTTATATTTATAATTATTCTGTAACGTGTGTATGTCACTGAACTCCTAAACGGCTGGACCGATTTTAATGAAATTTTTTGTTTGTCCTCAGCTCGATTCGAGAATGGTTTAGATTCACAAAATATTTTTTTATTGTGTTGTCGGATTTAAGTCGTGTGTACAGGACAATGTCTGTCGGGTCCGCTAGTTTACTATAAAGTTATGCCAAATGCGCAACTACTTAATATGTATATTATATAGTAGGAAGTTCGTAGCACCAATTTTCCGTAGCGAATGGAGTTAATAGCAACTGAGAGCTACGTAGCTCGTAGCGTCCCTTGGGGCATATCTAAGTGTGTTATTCTGTGGGTTATTCCAGGTAAAGCTATCACGAATAGGCAATCGCAACTAGCTATTTCCCGTGGACGTTTTAGATATGAAATACATACAATATTTATAATTTAAATATAATGTATGTGGGGGGATAAATGAAGGTCGTTTCGCTAGGGAATCTCCTTTATTACGCGGATTAACAATTTTTACTTTAAGAGCTCAAGCGTCGTTCCTAATGTATATCGCCATTACCCTTTTTTTCCCATCTCTTTCACACAGCTCTTCCGTTTCCTAACTTCCGTTCGATCCGTTTCATGCATCACTTATTCATTCATCCCACATGTATTTGTTAATTTTTGTGTTTGTCTCTGCACTTAAGATGAACAAAATTTGTAGATAAAACTGTTTTGATGTGAAACATCTATAGCCGCACGTAAAACCGATTTCTGGCGTTGCCCAAACATCTATTGGCGATATGTGTGCTTCACACCTTAAACTAGAAGATGGAAGTGAATTGATGATAATTGTTGTGTACATTTCTCCTAATAAAAAAATAAATGAATCATTTCCTATTTCATATTTTCATGTTATGTCCAATACTTTTGTAACATACTTCAGTTACCATCGACCAATTGTCACAGTAATACCGTCCTCAGAGGCAACATCAATTATAACTATTACCGAAGTCACTGATTAAACGAATTAAGTAGTCACGATTTGAAATAAATTCGTAAATTTTTGTATTTAATGAAAATAAATGTTTATTCAATAAATAATCATCGTTATCTGGAATAAAAATCGTAATATTTTAGTTTATCATTATGACATATTTAGTTCCTATCACAATCTGTTCTTTTCTGCATATTATTTAACAAAATAATGTCGATGTTTCACATCTGCCAGGCGTCCCGTGACTGCTCATTTTTTTAACATCTTTTCACCGCCGTCGAAACAAAAATTGTTACAGTTTTATAATACACCTTAAAAAGAAATACAAGTATAGTATGTGTTAAATTCTATTATAAATGTGAATTTAAGTTTGTTTGTTAAAAAACAAAACTACTCAAACGATCGTCATGAAACTTTGACATAACAACACGTATTGTTTGAGATATTACAAGGGATATAGGGTTATTTTTATTAAAAAAAAATATGTTTTTTTTAAACATATTTATTTCAGGGTTTCGCGGGCGAAAAGCACAATGTATATCGATTCCAAATTCACTTAAAAAGGGAACAAATGCACACATAAACTTTCATTGCTAACATTTTAAAACGGCGTTATAATCAATTATATATCTATTAGATATGTTAGGTGTTTATAGATACAGAAGGTGAGTAGGTAAAGATATAAAATTATTTCAATATTATCTAAGTTATATACTATTCAATAAACTTGAATACTCCTTTAGAGAAAATATTTGGAGTGAGCATAATCTTCCGGAGGAGAGTCTTTGCAAATGCAAATATTTCCGCAACATGCTTACAATTTACGCTGAATATTCTACAGTAAACGCTATGAAAAATTAACTTTAAAGAAATGAACGAGTAAAATGTTTCTTTAATATTTCTAAAGCTACTTTAATCCAAATCGTTGTGATTTAATCAGAGGAAAAAGATAACAGATTGAATTTAGAATTTAGATACAAGACGATAAACGAGTGAAAAATTACAATTGACTTTTTTATGTAAGACATTTGACAGCTGATTAGTTGTCTTTTACAATTATCAGTGTTTTAGAAACCGGGCGTTGGTGTATCATCAATTTTAATTTGAACCGACAAAAATAAGGCAGCGTTTTTTAACTTACGGCCAGTTTCAATATTCTATCTACAGATAGGTTTGGTTACTAGCGATAGGTATTTCACATTAGCCCCATAATACTTAAGTCGAAATTCTATTTCCAATTTCAGAAACCGAGCGTAAGTCGATAAATGTCTTAAAAGAAATCAACTGGAATTGTTTTCTTTATACAAATGACACCAATTCCATTGCTTTTGTATATTCAGACGGGAAATTTGAACAGACATCCCTGAGAAGCAACAGTTGCGTTAACAAAGTGAGCGTCCCCCGCCGATTTATCAGCAGGTCCACTAATGAAGGATTCCGAGATATAAATTAGTGACACTCCGCGGCTTGGTCTTGACGGAGGTAATTAAGCGGTGTTTCTGTATCTGGAAATGGTTGCTTACTATCTAGTAAAAGACACGAGCCCATAATATAAACGGGGTGGACAGGAATAGTAATAATAACACTTCATTTGTAAAATAACATGGTAGTACAATGCAACGGTGATATTATTTTATTTTTATTTTTTATTTTATTTTATTGGCTAGGAAAACTTATAAAACTTACAATGTTAAAGATGAAAAAAAAAAGAAAAATTTTTTTTATGTGAAAAAGTGGCAAACGAGCTGGCGGGTCACCTGATGTTAAGTGATAACCGCCGACCACGGACATTTGCAAGACCAGTTGCAGATATGTTGCCACCTCACTCACCAGACGAAACGCAGAAGTGTAACACTTTTTCTTTACGCCGGTCTTCTGTGAGGTAATAGTACTTACCCGGACGGACCCGTCCGTTCGTGCAGCTGCAAACACTGTTGCGGGATCCTACCGCAGTTGAAATACAAATTGAAAAACTTCAACTCAAATATTATTTTATATTAACTATGTCATATAGATTACCACTATAAAAACTTTAAAATTTATAAAAAGCAATGGCGACATCTCTCGTTCGAATTATCGTTGTAAAATGATATACGAAATTGTTTTATGCTGGAAATGATATAACAATAGATACGCCAAGCATTGCTTCAAATGCTAAATAACAATGTAGAAAGAAGACGTTAAGATTTTCGTCGCTGTGGCTATCAGCCGTTTATCTCAGTGGCTAGAGCGTCAGGCCGCGAATGCCGAAGACGTGGGTTCGATTCCCACAGCGGCGACAATCTTTTCGTACGTTTTCTACATGTTTTAATTTATGTCATAGATCTTTAAGTATCGCATATTTTTGCTCTTAATGAGTGTAAAAATATTTATAGTGCAGTTCCTAGCATCTAG